ATGGAACCTCCGTGGCGGCAAATGTGCACTTCTCCCTCTTGACGTACAACTCGTTGTCGCGAAGGACTTGGAAGACTTGGCATAGGTGCTCGGCATGCTCGTCGAGTGTTTTGCTATACACGACGATGTCATCCAAGTAGACCACGACAAACCGGTCCAAGAATGGCTCGAACACTTGATTCATCAAAGTGCAAAACGTGGCTGGTGCGTTGGTGAGACCGAATGGCATCACAAGAAACTCGTAAGAGCCATACCTCGTCACACAAGCTGTCTTTGGCTCGTCGCCCTCTGCTATCCGCACTTGATAGTAGCCCGAGCGAAGATCTAGCTTGGTGAACAACATAGCATCTCCAAGCTGGTCGAACAGATCGCCAATGTTGGGAATCGGCCACTTGTTCTTCACCGTTAACTTGTTGATGGCTCTATAGTCGATGCACATGCGCAACGACCCTTCCTTCTTCTTTTGGAACAGCACCGGTGCTCCAAAAGGTGACTTCGATGGCCGCATGTAGCCTGCGTCCACCAAGTCTTTAAGCTGCCTCCGCAACTCTTCTAGCTCCGGTGGCGACATGCGGTATGGTGCTCGCGAAGGGGGCTTCGCTCCTGGCTCCAACTCGATCTTGTGGTCCACCTCTCTTCTTGGTGGCAGCTTCTTGGGCAACTCCGATGGCATCACGTCATCGAACTCTTCGAGGACGTCTTCGATGATGGGAGTTGTGATTCCCGCTGAGCCTCCTTCTTCCTCCATTTTCAAGGACACAAGAAAGGTTGGTTCATTCTTCTTGAACCCCTTCAACACTTGCATGGCCGATAGAGCACTGTGGGGGCCATCTTCTAGCAAGAGATGGATCGTGTGAAACTCCCCCTCCTTCTCCAAGCACATCGTGTTGGAGTTGGGCTTCAAGAGCACTCCCTCCTTGTCGAGGAAGTTGATGCCGAGGATGACTGGGTGATCGTCCATGGTGACGACGGAAAAGTCGATGAGACCTTCCCACTCGCCAAGCTTCACTGGCACGTTGTGAGCAACTCCATGGATTGGGATGGACTCCGAGTTGATCGTCTTGAGCCTCCCTTGCCCCTTCTCGTAAGCAATACCCAGCCGGGTTGCCTCCTCGATGCGAAGGAAGTTGTCCGTGGCACCGGTATCTACCAAGGCTTTTGACTCGCCTTGCATGAACTGCGCCAGAACATAGCACCTCCCACGCTTGCTCTCCTTGACGTCGGTCTTTGCCGCGCCAAGCTTGCGGATTGAGCCAATCTTGGCCTCCGCTGCCTTGGGCTCCTCCTCTTGAGCTTCCATGGCCGCCAATCTCGCCTTCCTTGGGCAATCCCGCACTCGATGTGGTCCGTCGCAAAGGAAGCAAGACATGGGTTTTGGCTCGTACTTACCCCCTTTGCTCGAACCACCTTGTTGTTGAGCGCGAGTGCCCTCCTTGAAAGGCTTCTGCTGTTCTCCACCCTTGTTGGGCTTCGAACTCTTCTCTTTGCCGCTGCTCTCTTGCCTTTTGTACTCGACAAAAGACTCCGCTGTGGCCATGGCAGTTGCAAGGTCTTGCACTCCTCGACGTTGCATCTCCATCTTGGCCCATGGTTGCAGCCCATCAAGAAAGCCGTGCATGGCCTCCTTGTCCGTGATGTCCGGGATCTCTAGAAGCAGCTCCGAGAATTCTTTCACGTATTCTCGAACTCCACCCCTCTGGGTGAGTCTTCTCAACTTCGAACGGGCTTCAAACTCCACGTTCTCCGGGTAGAACTGCCTCTTGATTTCTCTCTTGAAATCTTCCCACGTTACCATCACACAAGTACCTCTTTCGACGTCCGCTTCACGTCGCCTCCACCACACCATTGCAACATCGACCAAGTATAGTGGAGCGGTACGAAGTTTTACCTCATCCTCCTAGATGCCGGATGCCTTGAAGTATTGCTCAAGACTCCAAAGGAAGTTCTCTAACTCCCTCGCGTTCCTTGAACCTCCGAAGTTCTTCGGTCTTGGAACATCAGCACGTGGGACGGATTGCACCGGGGCTGGTCCGCTAGCCATGGCTCTCTTCACGAGAGTGACCTCACTCTTGAGGTCTGCAATCTCCTCCTTCACGCCGACCAGCTCAGCCTGGACTTGCTCTTTCACAACTTCAAGGGCGTTGTTCATGGAGGCGGTGATGGTGTTGTTGATGAGGGCCACAAGCTCTTCCCGCATCCCATCGTGGTTGATCTCCAAGCTTGTCAACCGACCCGCCATTCCTTGAACATCGCGTTGGACTTGGGCGAAGTTACCTCCCAAATCCTCGATGGCGGTGATGTCTTCCGCCAACTTCACTTCCACTCGAGAGACTCGCCTCTCCAGTGCCGCCATAGGATCACGAGTGCTTGACTTGTCACCCTTTGGCTTGGGATGCTTGGTTTGATCCCTTCCGCGCCTCTCCTGCTCGGCGGTAACGCCGCTGTCTGATCCCGACATTTTTGGTGAGGTTCTTCCTTTCCTTCTGGCTCTAGGTTCAACTTTGCTTGCACAAAGCCGAACCAGGCTCTGATACCACTTGTCACGACCTTACTCTCGATCGTGCGGCCCTAGCTCTCAAATCCGTTAGAGCGCTAGGCAGCCTTTCTCTCAACTCACTTGAAAGCAAAGAACAAGAACAAGACAAAGGAAGTGGGAGAACTCTCTAGTGTGTATTACTCTCAAAAATGATGGAATGAGTTACAAGTGAGGGAGATGGCTCCTTATATAGGCCTCTCCTCATACAAGGCATCAATGCCCCTCATAATGTCCCTCTACTACATCAATACACCCTATAAGTCCCCCCATTATGCACTCTATAAATACTACCATAATGTAGACAATGAGAAACTTAATGATTAGAGGGCCAGGGCTATCCCTTTTTCCTGATATCTCTTCAATGCGTTGTTCAGCGAGTACCTAAACCAGATTGACATTGCTTTGTCCACACCAATTCCCGTTGGGTACTTCTATTGTTAAAAAAAGAGGTGATAAAATATAACCCTTGAAGATGGAATCCAATACACTGTTGATACTGATTATTACAGTTAAATACATTTGTCAAAACGATATTACAGTAACCGGGTCCCGTAGGGCTGCCACTGCCAGGTCCTTTTCGTGTTCGTGTAAAGGATTTCAATTATGCTATTTTTCAAATGTTTAAACTTTGTCAAGTGTGGAGCTAAAAAGGGCAGAAACTTGATATTTCAGAGATTTGATTAAACCGATAGCCTCAGATTAGCATTTTGGCACATTAGTCATTGCAACAAACAGCCCCATGTAAAAACGTTGTTTACTTATTCCATGGATGCGCAAAAGAAAGCTGCTGCCACTCATGCCCTAAAGCTGTCTTCATAAGCGGAAATTAATTTGAGTGAAGCGGTGGAGAGAAAATGTGATGGCAAACGGAGGCGCGCTTGTGAAGAAAACCCTATGGTGGAGACTTCTTATGCTTCTCAGCAAAAAAAGAACCAACCAATAGAAGCACAAAACACGTACTATGATGCCAAATTTTTTCTTTAGGACTGAAGAAGCTTTAGGGCACCCCGTAGAGAACCCACGAGTATTTCAGAGCCACTGAAAATTTCTAACTCCACCCTATAATTAACCTCCAGCCCCATAAAAAAACATCTAGTGTGATGTAACAAAAGAGATAAGTGTATCTAAAATTTAATTAAAATAGAGATGGATCAGAACATAGGCTTGAAATCTCTTATAAAGAGATAAAATTCGCGCAGTTATATCAACTTCGTTCATTTGGGGAAATTATCATCACTTCCATCTCAACCAATAACGGAGTTTTTCATTAAAAACTAGATAATTCGAGAAAATAAAAATTTGAGAAAATAGCATAAAAAGTGCTAAATTAAAGGGAAGGATCAGAACAAAGGCTTGAAATCTCTTACAAAGAGATTATGATCGCTCAGTTTATTCAGATTCGTTCATTTGGGGAAAGTGTCGTCACATCCAATCCCAATAACGCAAAAACAAATAAACCTTAAAAATCCAATCTTTAATGAAGGATTTAGATGAAACATTGGAAAGTAAATGAGAAGCCTCAGTAAGCCAGTCTAATTTAACATCAAGATTGAAACAATTCAGCCGGTAATTCCAACTAAATAGAAATCATCATTGGCTTCAGATTATGATTAAACAAATAAACCTAAATCATATGTAATCGCCCAAAACGGCTCTGTGAACCGGATATGATCATAGATTCACAGGTTCCTATCAGAAAGCGAAACATTCAGAAAACTTAATATTGGTCCATTCATAGCATCGCCGGTCATGGCAAATTTATGCTACCGGCGACGTGGCATGGACCCAGAAACTCAGATGAAACGGGAAACACAAAATTGAACTAAAGAATTGGTTCTTTTTCACAACCCTCAGAGACCCGATTCTAATCAACCACACAGCGGCGGCTCAGCCAAAGGGCCGCGAGATCGCTAACCAAAACCCACCGGACGAAGCAGAGAAGCAAGACGCCCCATTGAACTAATCAATGGAGCCGCCTACCGATCGGGCGGCAGATTGAGAGAGAGACGAAAACGCGGTTGTTCCGACGTCTGAGAACACACCGCTGCTTGTTTACAGTGTCATACGGCTCTACCTATTCAAGGGGTGTTTCTTCACAGGGGGGAACTAGGCGAAACAAAGCAATAATCAGAAGAAGAAAGCAAAGGGAGGAAACCTGAAACCCTAATTGAACGGAAACGGAGAAGAATTCTGTTCTGCAGCTCTGGGAGATGAGATGAGATGAGATGAGATGAGCTGACGGCATTGGAGTTGAGAAGAGATCGTTATATAGAGGTTTCTGTCGGCGGAGGCGTAACCCTAGTACTTGATTGTGATGACTCCGTCAAATACGGGCCGGGCTTTTCTTTTGAGACTGAGAAATAGTATAGTGTGCGCGCGCAGAAATTGGTTTCAAGCCCAATCTATAATGCGATCCAAACAATGTGGGCCCACGGCAGAGGAGAAGCAAAACGGCAATAATTTGGTGGCATTTCGCCGTGGACTAATACTGCTGCGTTGGCTGGCCTGGCCGTCTGCTGAAGCAAAAAGAGGAAAGAAATTTGAAAAACTTCCAACTGCCGGCCGCCGGTTATCTCTCCTCCCGGCTAAAGGATTTTCTTTGGGACGAGAATCAGACTTCTCGAGGACTTCAGCAGTCAATTTCGAGAGATAAAAACGAATACCAGATGTCGATGGGCAGCGACCCGACCTGGGTCAGTAAGAAGCCGCTGCGGCGGATCGGAGGGATGTCGGATGCGCTCTCCATCGCCGCCGATCTTGGCTACTCGGTTGCTCCACCGCCTTCTCAGGTGCTAATCTCCTGCTCCTTTTGATTTCCGATGCAATTGTTCCCTGTCAATTGCTGCTTCCCGCATTGCGGGTTAGGTTGGTTCCTTTTCGGGTTCTGATTTAGTGATTTTGATGCTCTACTCTTTTCAATTGTTGGAACAAGATAGCGAATTGTCTTTTCTTCTTTGGTGGATTACTTTGTAATTGCAGCTGAAGAGTGAAGATCCACTCCAATTATGTAATTGTAGATGTGGTAGATAAAGTATGATCCTGTTTGAACACCTAGTAGGATTGGTAGCTACTGTAAAAGCAGTGTTGACCAAATTTTTCATTTTCCGTCTCATATTTTCCTAGAATCTACTCATCTGCTTGCAAGTATTGAGGTTGGTTACAATGTGAAGAGATGGCAATGGCCAATTGGAGTGTCTTGGGCTCATTTTTCTGTTTTCTGGCCGTAGGAGGAAGTGCAGAACTTGTCGGCATCTAGTGGCGAAAAGGGTGATGACCTGATCAAGGTATTGAGAGAGCTGACAACTGTTCAAAGAAAAATCGCGGATCTTCAGGTCGAACTTCAAGGGCGAAAGGTAATCGTACATTTCCATTTGCCACATTAGGGTTGATCTTAAGTTGTTTACTATCCGAGTATCGATCTTCTTTTTCTTTTTGTCGTCTTTACTTATGTGATGCTGCTAATTCAGGATGATAAGAATGTAGCTCATTTGACACACGTGCGTGAAATGGAGAAGAAGATAGAGACTTTATCGAGGATTACCACCATATTAAAAGATGTCATTCAGAATAAGGTAAAACTTCATCTGATCTTTTTTAAGGGTCAACAGTCCACACTGATGCAGTAGCATACCTGAATGCTTGACTACGGACTACCCATGTACTTGAAAGCTTTGCTGGAAGAACTTGCAAAACTGCAATGTTAGTCCAGTTTGTATGTTAATAGTACCGCATGCATTTATCTTTCAACTGTTCATTCTGAAAGAAAAAAATTTGATGAAGACATTCCCTCTTTCGACTGTTCATTCTGAAATTACAGAGGGATGTTCGAAATAGCTTAGATGTATTGCTCATTTCACTTCCACTTATAACCCTGTCCTTACAGTGGGATGGTTTATTTCATGGTGTCTACTTCCCACTTCTAATGAGGCAGCTGACTCTTTATGTTTTTTTTTTTTTTTACTGATTTTATCTGACACATTCTCCTTGTAAAGCTGTTAAGGCTTAAGAATTCATCAAATGAGCTTAACTTCATTCATCATGTGAATCTACCGAATTGTTTCGGTGGTGTTTTACGTGCTTATTTTATCTTGAAACTTATGTTTTGAAAATGTTGGCAGGACCGTATTATAGCTCGTCTTCAACAACCTTACTCACTTGATTGCATTCCTGTAGAGGCAGAGTATCAGGTTGGTTGTTTCTTTCTTATCTTTTGTATTTAGTTGAGCAGGGTGTAAATGTTCGCCAATCAGCTTTACCACTCTTTTAAGTATGTTGGATAAGAATACCTGAAATGGCCTGTCAATAAGTTGGTCAAAAGATTTGAGAATTCCAGTTTGGATTCTAATCTCATACTGTACTGTGGAAATGAGGCAATATTTTGTCCCTTGATCTGACAGAAACAGTAGTTCTAATTGTTTGCAAACTTCATCGACCATGACTTCTGCAGAAACAATTTTCAGAATTGCTTATGAAAGCTGCAAGTGATTATGGCCCCTTGACAGCATCTGTCTCCGATTTCCAATGGACTCAAAACTTCAGGGAGTCTCCTTCTGTGTGGGGGGTATGTTAATGAAACATTCTTCTAGCTTGCTCTGATCATCAATTGCTAAAAAAATCTCCCTCTTCACAATGCCATTTTTCCTATGTGCTTAGGAAATGCTGAGGCCAATTCCTGTTGCATTAGCATCATGCACCCGGTTCTTCGAAGCCATGTCAGCTATGAGAGAATCATTTGCCACACTCCAGGATCTCAGAGTAGGCCACTTAACTGCATCTCTGCCTTCAACACCGGCAAAGGATTCTCCTTCCCAAATGACCCCTCGAGATTTGGACCTTGTGACCCCTCCAGTTTGGAAAACTGAATCGAGTCTGGATGACTTGGCTATCAAAAGCCTAGGAAAACAACAACAAGAGCTTCATAGGCAAGCCGATGAAAAGATCGAAGCAGACCAAGTTGATGCCTTGGACCATCGGAGACTCTCATGGCCGCCGTCAGTTAAACAGAATGGTGTTTAGTCGCCCAATGGAGAAGTCAGAATACACTCTCGCCAATGGAGAAGCCTTTACTAACTACCTTGCTCGAAAATATTGTATAATGATTATGTCTCTGCTATTTTTGTATGTATGAATCTGTCTTCCCCAATGGTATTCTTCTCCCCCTTAAACCACAACTGGCAGCTCATTCTTTATTTCTTGGTCGAAAGAGGAAGAGGAGAGTAAGGGAGTGTTTCAGGTTTTAGTCACTTGCTTGCTTGGATAATTGTAATATCTGACATCCACAAGATTTGACATTTTGTTCCCAGTACAGTAGCTCTGTCAATTTCAGGATTGTTCCACCACTGCGCACTCATTTCGTAGGATATTTATTTATATTCAGCTATGTCAAAAGATATACAAGTTAGATGTCGAAGTTAGGGATTATGGTTTTCTTCCACAAAAAGGTTTACAATTGAGTGGTGAAAGTTAATTGGGCTACATGCCCTGATTCCAACATTAAAGCCCTGAATTGAGATGCAACAAAAAAACGAATATAAGAGTGATACTATTTTATTAATTTAAAAAGAAAAAAGTATTTGATAAAATTTGAGATACAACAGTAATAGATGAAAGCTCAGCTTCAGGAGGTATAGACACAGCTTTCGCATTACACTTTGTTCCAGGATTATGCACTAGGAAATGTTTCATGTCACTAGCAAAGGAAAAAATGATTTGTTCGTCCACAATGCTTATTGCTTAAGAAATTAAAGTCTCATCCTGCACATCAATTAAAGTCTCGATAGTTACTAGGAATGGCCTATCAAGGATAAGGAGAAAATTCGCATCCTCGTTAATATCAAGAATGACAAAGTCGACGTGATAAAAGAATTTGTCAACCTTAATAAGGAGGTCCTCCACTATTCCCTTAGGATATGCGACAGATCGATCTGCCAATTGAACACTGATCCTAGTAGCGCTAGGTTCACTAAAATCAAGTTTTTTGAACATTTTATATGGCATGATGTTAATGTTTGCTCTTAAATCCGCCAAAATTTTCTCTATATGCAACGAGTCAATGAGACAAGGGATAGTAAAACTCACCGACTCTTTTTGCTTCTCGGAGAGCTTGTTTTGAAGGATGGCTGAGCATTCCTCATTGAGCATAACAATGTAGAGGTCGCTAAACTTCTTTTGTTGGTGAGGACATCCTTGAGGAACTTGGCATACTTGGGCATTTGAGTCATCGCCTTTTCGAAGGGGATGTCGATGTGTAGCTACTTGAGCATGGTCATGAACTTCTTGACCTCTGCTTCCAGTCAATCCTTACGCATGAACGTAGGAAACAAGAGTTGAAGGATATATTTCACCACCACAGGTTTTTCCTTTGGAGCTTGAACCTCTTCCTCTGTTTCCTTCGCTTCCCTTGTTGCCTGTTTTGGTGGAGGAATTCAACCTCTCCATGGTGATTTGGAGGCGCCTCCTCTATTACCTTCCCAGTCTGCAACATAATGGCATGCAACTCTTGTCTTGGTTCCTTTGGATTGGGAAATGTGTGACTCGAGAGTGCTTCTTAAACTCTGGTGGTGAGTGCTTGAGCAATGCTTCCCACTTGAGCTTTCTTATTCTGTAGTGAAGTCTCATGATTGCGCAATCTCGTCTCTATGATACTGAATTTCTCAGATGGCACATCCATGAACTTGTAAATAGTGTCGCACAGTTGAGTTTCAGATGCTAACAAAATGAGTCATCATCTCTTCCAGCTTGTTCATATTCTCTTGAGTGGGGTGTGAATTCCACGGTTGACTTTGAGGTTGAGTTGGATATTGCGCTAGCTGGCGAGGCTATTGGAAATATTGTTGCTGATATGAGACTTTTTGTTGGAAACCTGTACATCGAGCATGAAACATGAGGCCTTGGGTTTGTAAGTGAAAACGATGCAAAGTTTGGATGGTTCTTCACCCTGGATTGTAGGTGTTTTCGCACGGGTTCCCTACTCTTTCATTGGACACGAAATCCACATGCTCTTTCAGAGTGGAACTTGTCCAATACATGGTTTGTTCCTCCACACCAGTCACACTGCATAAGCTGGGTATTTGGCATACTTGCAGCAGAAAGAGCATCCATCACACGTTTAGCTTTTTGATGATTCCTTCAACCATAGCATAGAGAGATGTACAAGAATCCATAAGAATCACACATCCTTGTTTTGTTGTTTTAGATCTTTCACTCACACTCCATTGACTCATCCCGAATACCACAATAGAACTCCCAATTAAGGCCCAAGTATAAACCTTAATTGGTTGCAATATAGGGCAAGTATGTTTAAATATCCACCATGGCTGGTTCATGTACCCGTACTTTGATTTTTCAAAGGTAAATGGATTTGACACTAATTGAGAAGGCTTCACTCGGGTGTTGCTCCTCCTAGCTAACAATTACGACTTGTTGGATCGAATGGTCGTGTGTGGCAAGGGGGTTGTAAATCGTAGGAAAGTGTAGCAAGTAGCCAAGCTCCACTCTCTCGGTCTCTAGGTCAAGGGAAGGGAATTAGATTCAAGCCACCAATGTGACTCTCTCGGCCTATTGACTAAGGGTTGCCAAGACTTCACCCTCGAATCGGAGTTCGGACTGCCACCCACAACCAAACCCTATGTGCTAAAACAAAATAACAGGTTTGCCCTACATTAACCTAGATAGGAGACAACGAATCGCCTAAGAAAACTCAGCATTCAAGCCTCTTTCAAAGAAAGAAAGAAAGGGGGGTTTTCTCTCTACCTAGGTTAGAATGGCATTTAGATTGATAGGCTTTCACACAACACAATCATTCATGAATAATACCTCCACGTTCACATTAAACACCACCACACACAAATCATTCAATCCATACAAACACCCAAGTGAAATAAGGGACTACTCCATGCTAGGAGAAGGGAAAACACAAGAGAGAAGAAGGAAAACCATCAATGAGATGTTAGCCTTGCTCCTTGTGTTGAAGAGATCCTCCTTTGGGGGAGGAATTCCCAAATCCTTGCTTGAAAATGAAACCCTAGCTTCTCTTCTTCTTTGGTTTGTCACTTTCTCACTCTCGAAATCTGAAGAAGAAGAAGAAGAAGAAGAAGAAGAAGTTTCTCACACTAGGTCTCTCTCCTTTTTCCTTCAGCTCAACCTCCTTTATACACTCATATCAGGCTCAGTTCATGGTCCCCGTTCACAATCGTGAACTGAAAGCCCGAACCGTGATCTCAAGTCGAAACACACCGCTTCACTAAGTCTAGTTCACGGGCAATGGCCTGAGTTCACGGTCTTACGACCGTGAACTGACTTGTGTCCAGTATTGAAAGCGATTTGTGCTCTGGATGCCTGGTTGTTCACGGGTAGCGCCTCCAGTTCACGGTCTTAGTGACCGTGAACACACAGCCCAAACCGTGATCTACTGCTTCTACCCTTTTACTTGATTTTTTGCCTTTTCATCCAACTTCTGACTCCATAGTTGGTTCCACCTGCCAAAGTCTGAAAAACACCAAAACAAGGTAACACCCGGAGTAAAAATGCTTCAAACGACTAAGCAAATCGGGGGTAAAAAGTGTACAAATGAGCCCGAATCATCCATTCATGCCCATTAAGGGCCATTTCTTCAAATAGTTGGGTCATTTTGAGGTGGAGTCTTGTTCTTCATGCATCATGGACAAAATGGGTCAATCATCGATCGACCAATCAATGTAGTCAAAAGCGAGTTTCTACGTAGAAACGTTTTGGTGATCTAGAAGCGTAAAATCGTAAGTTTTAAAGTTTTAAAGCGGAGTTTTTAACTATATAAGTTATAAAAACTGAGATTTTATGTAGAAGCGTTTTAGTGACCTAGAAACGTAAAATCGTAAGTTTTTAAGTTTTAAAGCGCGATTTTGACTACATTGCGACCAATCTTCTATACACAATCTATTGTAGAAGAGTGACCCTTGATACCAATCATTGTATCCATGGTGCAAGCATATGAGAAGTAGGTTAATGAACCTCTCCTGTTCATCACACTGTCTCATCATCTTCTTGGGCGAACTCAATAATCTCTTTTTTTGGTTGAGATATCTTGAAAGGAGGAAAGTAATAATCCATGAACTTCTCCAACATATCAAGTGATGGAGTGTGATAGTTGGTGAGCCACTTCTTTGCTAACCCACTCAAAAGATAATGGGAAAAAGACATAGTTGGATAACATCTGTAGGTACCCCATTCACCTACATCCCACCAGTAAGCTTCAGGAATCGCTCCACATGAGCATGAAGTTCTTCACTCTTAAGACCATGGAACTGGATTGAGCTCTGGATTACAAATATCACACTATTTTTTATCTTGAAGTTGTTGTTGGCAATATGAGGGTCCTAGATGATATACTAGATCTCGTTGACCTTGGGGGTGAGGTAGTACACCATGGTCTCCTGTACCTGAGGATGCTTGCCAGCTATGATGTTGTTCTCTGTTTCTTCCTCTACCTAAGAAGAGTCATTTCATTTTCCTTGCTCAAGAGCTCGGTTTAAGTCTCTTTCTCTTCTAAGGTTGTGCAGAGTCTGGATGATGTTATCATCAAAATGTACTAATTCACCTTATTAGTCATGCACAAGCACCTGCCACACACTGAAACACACTAAATTTAAAAAGCAAATGTGAGAAAAGCAAAAGAAAAAGGGCTAATACCATTAGAAATACCAATCTTTAACCAAAGTGCCATTTATATTACAAAATTTCAATAATCACATTAATATTCCAACCTATTGGGAGTAAATGTCATTTGTGTTACACGATTTTCAGTTGACTGTTAAAATTAACAGTTGACCTAACAGTAGTCAACCTATGTTTGACCACTGATGACGTGGCTCTTATGTGTCGTCCACATATGTGCCACGTAAGAAATTAATAATTAAAAAATTAATTTTTTGGTAAGAAAAAATTAAAAATTAAAATTGTAATTAAATAAAAACAGAAATTCTTAAAAAAAAAACAACATCCGCCCAATTTACTCGCCGCATCGACGCCACCATCCACCCGAGCAGCTGCTGCCGCCGCCTCCTCTTCTCCTCTTCTTCTTCTCTCCCCAACGACCAAAATGTCTCTCTGGCGTCTCTTCCACTTCCCTCCCTGCTCTCTCCGCCGTCTACCGCATCTGGTCTCACCTCCTCGACTCGACCTCCTTCATCTCCCTTCGCCGCCTCCGCGGCCTCTTCCGCCTCACCCTCTTCGTCTTCTCCTCAACCGACTCCCTGCTTTAACCCCCGACTCTCCTTTTGGGCAATCCAATCGAATTAATAGAAAAGAGGGAAAATGAGTGTTTTGGGTGCACACGAGATGGGGGGTGTTCCGGAGGCCCACGCGCCACCCCACGATGACGGCGCTTCCAAGCGGCTGAACCAGGAGTGGGAGGAAACGGAGCAGA